GCCTTCAAACGAATCTTTACGTAGTTCTCTTAAGTTATTTCCACTGAGATTTCTGAAAAATGAAAACATTATTTCTGGATCAAAATGCAAAATAACTACAACTATTTAATGCACAGAAAAATATATAAGGAAACATGGGTAATGGTGCCATCGAATACCCTAATTTTTATTTAATTGAAGATAACCTGTTCTTTATTCAAACCTTTCTTCTTACATCTTCTTTGTGCAAACAATAGGCCATTCTAGAATTGATTCACTTTCTTTCCTCAGCATTTTATCTGTCCAAAGGATTTACCAACACTTGAAATTATATTTATGTAGTTATTATATATATATTTTTTCATATTATACATTTGTAAACACCTTGAGAGCTGGCGGAATTTGTCTACTTTGTTCCTGGGCCTGTAATCTTGGCACATAAAACAATTCCTGGCCCGTAGCAGATGTTCCATAAATACTTTTTCCATGATTTCAGAAAATGATAGACATCATGTTCAATATACTATTATTTAAAGCAAATCATCCATTTACCATCACTCATGAGCCTTATAGATAGGAAAAGAAATGTCTTTTTTCTCCCCTACATTTGACTCTTAATCTTTGGAGACAAGAACCCCGTGAGGATTTTATAAAAGCTATGGACTCTTTCTCTAGAAAAGAGCCCTTTTTTGAATCCATGGAAAAGTGTGCATGTAATTTCCAGTTGTTGATTATCCCTTTAGGGCAGAGGTCCGTGAATAGGATTGCATGGAATGAATTCAGGGAGCCAAACCAGAATGGGAAATAAAATTACATCCCTATTTTCACAAGCCTGTACCTAAAATTAGCATTGCCTTTCATTGTGAATGTAGGCAACAAATTATAGATTAGCAGTAGAGTAGTTTATTGGGACCGCAGGGCATGCGGCTTATCCCTCTCCCAGGCCGGACTGTAGGCTCAGGTGCAGCCAGTGGTGCCAGGGACCATGAGGCGTGCGGCTTGTCACTCTTTGGGGCCAGGTTGCAGGCGCAGCCACTGGTGCCTGGGACTGTGGGGTGTGTAGCTTATTTCTCTCCCTGGCCGCAGCCCCAACAGTTGGTGCCCAGGACCACGGGTGGGCAGCTTTCTCCTCTCCTGGGCTGTAGCCTGGCTGGTTCCCATTCCTCTATCCTCAGTGTTGAGTTTCTGAGCTGTTATGGCGTGATGACCATTTGTCTACTAGGTCTTTATTATATAGGATAATCATGTATTGCTTGTTATAATGGAAAGTAAGTTTAAATTGACTCTGATTTTTAAGAGAACCTTCCAAATTTAATTTTTAAAGTAAGCAGAATTGCAATCTATAGATGTTGATTTAGGAAATACCTTTCCTCAGAGCTACTGACCTCAAAATTATGGACAAAGAAGCATCTTACAATACAATTAGTTCTTAAAATTCATTTTTGGAGAGCGTATACTTACAGTTTCTCAACCAAATGGTATGACTTCCACGAATCTTTACCGATGTAAGAAATAGCATTTCCCTGCAAGTTTCTGTGAAGAAATATAATTAATATGTTTAAATAGCTAAGAAACAAATGAACAGAATAAGTAAAAGCATCATGGCAACCTTATGGGGAATATTCAAATATAGAAAACACCAGCTTTCTAATTTCCACAGCTCTCCGCTTCCCAGCTTGCACAATTAATAAAGACATAATGTGGGGCCACTTGCACCCTGAGGCATCTCCTCAGAACTTGAACTGTTTTTACTGGATTGTCAATGCCAGTTAATTACTTTGAATGCACTTTTCTTTTCCAAATCACTTGTGTCTAAAATGACTCCTACAAATCTATTAGAGAATAATACTTCACCAGGAAAATAGCAAGAATTTATCATTTTAAGAAAACAAATGTAAAGAAACCTTATGGCAGGCCACAGAAAAGCATTGGCTCAGTGCCCTCTATGGAAATCTCTACAGATGTTAGGAGGGTAAGGGCAGTTAGAAATAAGAGGACTAGAATGGACACAGACATATTTGACAGGGAAAAGCACAAATCACTGAGTAAGGAGTAAAGTATTACCTCTTTAGAGGGAAAATGCAAAATGAAAAGAGAAAGAGAGAGATTGGAGGAATAGACACACAGCAAAATAGTAACAGGAGTGGTAGAACGGGTTGGGTGGGGTTTTCACATTCTATCCTTTACTAAAGGCCTGGTGCAGGAAATTCGTGCACAGAGCCGGGGTGGGGGAAGCCCCTCAGCCCAGCCTGCACCCTCTCCAATCTGGGATTCCTCTCACAATCCAGGACTGCTGGCTCCCAACAGCTCACCTGCCTGCCATCCTGCTTGCCCCTAACCGCTTCTGCCTGCCAGCCTGATCACCCCTTAACCACTCACATGCCAGCCTGATTAATGTCTAATTGCCCCCTGCCAGCCTGTTTGCCCCCAACTTCCCTCCTCTGCCGGCCTGGTCACCTCTAACTGCTCTCCCCTCCAACTTCCTTTTCTTGCAGGCCTGGGCCCTCTCAATTGCCCTCCCTTGCAGGCCTGGTGCCTCGCAACTGTGGTGGCCATCTTGTGTCCACATGGGGGAAGCCATCTTTGACCACATGGGAGCAGCTATTGTGTGTTGGAGTGATAGTCAATCTGCATATTACTCTTTTATAAGATAAGATAGAGGCCTGGTTCATGGGTGGGGGCCGGCTGGTTTGCCCTGAAGGGTGTCTCAGTTCAGAGTGGTGGTTCCGTTGGGGTGTGGGATGGCCTGAGCTAGGGGTCTGTGACAGTTTGCAGGCCAGCCACACCCCCAAGTGGAGGCCCTGGTATCTGGAATTTATTTAGCTTCTACAATTGAAATTTTGTAGCCTGGAGCAGAGCCAAGCCTTCTGCTTGCTCCATGGTGGCAGCCATTATGTTTGGATTTGTTTACCCTCTATAATTGAAACCTTGTAGTCTCAGTGGAGGCTTAGGTCGGCAAGGAAAAGCAGAAAGCTTGGCTTTCTCTGTTGCCTGGGAAACCCAAGCCTCACTCCTGCTCTCACTTGGTTGGTTTATTTGCATACTCACTGTGATTGGCTGGTGGGTGTGGCTGGTGGGCATGGCTAGTGGGTATAGCAGAGTGATGGCTAATTTGCATATTACTCTTTTATTTGGTAGGCTACTTCTGTGACACAAAGCAGTGAGAATATGTCCATGAATTACAAGTATTTAAAAGAAGCTGTTACATTCCTGAGGTTCAGTTTCAAACACTAATTCTGTGGATGACTTTGAATCTTTAGCTTTGTCCTCTTCCCTCAGCAATAACTTACCTATTCAGTTTACATATTTTTCAGGAAGGTCAGAAAAAGTCAGATAGCTGTCGGCCCCTGAGCCCCGTGGACATTTCCACTCAAGCCTTCTGGTTGCTTTATACTCGATAATGAAAGATGCCCAAACTGAGCTCACCTCCTCAAACTGTCTCACTTTCCCAACTCCTGTATGTCCACCTGTCAGAACACCATCATTCTCCTCATCATCTAGGTCAGAAATTTTCCAGGGACATTTTTGATCTTTCTCTTTTCTGTACATCCCATCCCTCACTCCAGTCAGTTACCAAACCTTGTCAGTTCTTCCTGTATAGCGTTCCCTGGATTTTCTTTCTACTCCTGTCACAAACCCTCTGATTTGGTGCCTTCTCATTTGATTCCTACAGTATTCTATTTGGTCTCCCTGAGTCAAGACTTCGTCTCTATATCACTCTCACTATGAAATCTAAAATAATCCTTTTTGGGTTTTTGTTTGTTTGTTTGTTTGTTTGTTTGGTTGTTTTTTTTTTAGAGAGAGAGAGCTAGGAACAGCAGTGATAGAGAAACATCATTATTGGCTGACTCCTGTATATCCCTCACCAGGGATCAAGCTGGGCCCTGACTGGGAATTGAATCAGTGACCTATTGGTTCCTGGGTTGATGCTCAATCATTGAGCAACAATGGCTGGAAAATCCTCTTATTTTACTTATCTGTCTCTCTCACTTGAAAACTTTCAATGGATCTCCTTATCTCAGGGTAGCTTCTAAACCTCTAGAGCTTATAGTCAAGATTTTCCATAATCATATTTTTCACTGCTTCCTAAACCAATTCTTTTTAACCAGACTGGTCTATTAAGTCCTAATCATTCCTATAGCCATGCATCCGCCTAATTGTTCTAATTTTTCTCTATTTACCAAACCATAGCCACCCTTTAAGTCCCAGCTAAAGTTCTAGCTTATTCAGCAGCGTTCCCTGACTTCCACACCCCAGTCACTGCAGATTCTGCTGAATTACAGCTCATCTGCCTGTATCCCTTTTAGTGCTTAATTATATATATCAACTTTTTTTTTATGCATATTGTCTTCCTTCCACCTACCATTGTCATGTTCTACAGACAATGTCATACTTCTATGGCTCTTCAGTACTTACACCTGGGTTTGGCACAAAAATGGGTGTTTTATATTGAAATCCACGGGGGGGGGGGGGCAAAGATGAGTTCTGGATATGACTTAGGGGTCAAATAATAATAGCAAAAACATACATATGTTAGGCACTTACACAAGTACTTTACATATATTAATTCATTCAAACTGACTTTACTAAAGATGGTAACTATCCTAATCTTTATTTTAAAGTTGTGGAAATTGAATCCCAAGACTAATAAATGATGTATCTGGGGCTAGAATCTCCTCTTAAATACTTTGTTGTTTCACCACCAATAAGATTGGTGAGAACCATGTTGCTGTAAAGAGGATGAAGCAAAAGTGGGAAGACAGCAGAAGTTAAGGAATGAAAAGTTGGGGCTAAAAGTATGGATCAGAAAAAATAACATGGACAATTACAAGTAAAAGACTGGTGAAGTGGGGAGCAATAATATTAAGGAGAATGAAGATAAGGAATAGTTGTCAAACGAAGATTAAAACAGAGAGTCTGTCAAAGTGGTTTGGGGGGAGATGAGGAAGGCCCAGGAAGACCTCAAGGAAAAGGCTTCCACATCAGCCAAGATGCAGAGAACAAATGAGGAAAGGCAATGCTTACAAGACGGTGAAGGTGCCACTGTAGATGCTGGGCTCTGGCACAGGCACTTTGGTGAGCTGGTTTGAGCCAAAACCAATACAGGACAGTGTCCCAGCACTGCAGGTACACAGGTCACATATCTTCATGGTGGCAATCTGTTCAGTCACTGGAGGAACTTCAGACAAGGTTGTCTGCAGAGCCTGAAGAGGCTTTGGGTATGAAAGTTCCATTTCAAGGTGTTTCGTAGGAGATGTAGTCTGTTGCAGGACAGTAGGCTGATGTGGGGTCTCCTGCTGGTTTGGAAGTTTAGCAGGATTAAAAGAGACCTCCTTGTCAGTTGCAGATAGTTCATTCTTCGTAGGGGGCTTTGGTTTTATCACAAGCCCCATCTCCACCTTATCAACAGTGATGGACAATAGTTGATGGTGAATTTTACCCCAATCAGGGAATGAGGATGTTGCCTTCTGATGGTCTGAAGGTTGAGCCTTTAGAAGTGGATGTTGACTCTTCGGTTTGACTGAAGAAATTTGAGTTGAAGTCTTCTGAGAGTTTGGAAGTTCCGTTTTCTCAGGGGCTTCTGTAACTACAGCTGTGTTGAGCGAAGTCACTTTTCTATCTGCAGGCGTGGGAATCTGCTGATTCTCATTCCAAGACCAGGGCTCAGTGGGCCCCAAGGGGATGGAGGTCATCAGAAAAGAATCCATTGGCAGTTCTGGAATTGGAGCAGTCTGGACTTGCAGCCACAATAGCTGCAGGAGCAGAAACCCTGGGGCCCACATGCGTAGCCCGGACATGACTGTCAGAGGTCCGGGGCACAGTGAACCACCAAGGCAAATGGGGTAAGGAGAGTGTCCCAGGATCCTGGGACACAAAAGGCGATCCAAGATTCTGGAACACACACACAAAGAGCGGTCCAGGACACTGGAGCACAGGGAGCAATCCCAAGCACTGGGGTACATACAAGTAACCCAGACAAGTGAGATGCAAGTACCATGCGCTGAGCAGGAGCTCAATAATTGGCAGCCATGTCACAATTTGCAGCCCTGTCATGCATGTGCCCCTTAGCAACCAAGCACCCCTCCCCTACCTCAAGCTCTAACCTTTATTATTTTTGGGCCGTGGTGACTATAAAACAGTGAGCCTTTTCCCCAGAATCACCAGAGATCACATGGCTCCTTTTTATTCAACTACCCACTGGGCCATCCCTCTGCCCTCACAGTATGGCAGGATTTGGACTGCATACTTGGGTTGGCCCCAGAGCTCAGGGATGGATGAGGCTGTTAAAGAAGGTGGAGAGTTGGGGGGGAGGAGAGGAAGGGTATTGAAGAACTTTCCAAGGAAGCCACAGGGCCTGGCATCTCAGGAAATTCCGAAGAACTAGTCCAATAGGCAATCTGGGCTCCTCTTCAAAGCTGAAATCTGAAAGTCTTCCTCCCAAGGCCATACTGCTTCTAGAAAGAGTAGCTGACCTACAAAATGCACCAGTTTGAATGGTGTGGTATGGGACATACTTTACAGTTCCAAAATTTGGCCATTTCCTCAAAATACTTAGTATCCATGTCTGATCCTTTGTTTTGTTTTGTATTCTTACCCTCCATTCTAGGCACTTTCACATCTTTTGTCATTTTGTCTTCCCAGCCTCTGGAAGCCGCAGGGAGGAATGGCAACTCCAGCAGTAATATGGCCTTGCAAAGGCCCTGCTTAGTACTTTTTATTCCCCCTAGCATATCCTTATCCATGGTTTTATCTGATTCCAGTATGTTTTGTATAGGAAGGCAGCTATGCTCACCACTATACCTTCAACGCCTTGATGTTTTGTATAGGAAAGGAAGCAAAACCTAGAGAATTTAACAGCCTTGATCAAGGTCACACAGGATTTGTGTTAAGACCTAAGATCTTCCAACTTCTAATCCAAAGAGGACCAAACTTCCTTAAAAGTTCTGACTTTCTAGGATGGAACAGAGAATCTCTGATAGTACCAGACTCTCAAACAGACTATAAAGATGCTGAGGAGCAGGAAACAGAGGTGGCTAATCTTGACATTCTGTGTTCTCCTAGAAAGACTGCTTAGATGCATCAGTGTTGGGGAGAACATTGGGTGTTGGGGCCGAGAACACTAGCCAGAAGAAGATGGAATGCCTAGATCTAGAGAATTCCTTGCAAGCCACTGCTGAGACTGGAACACCAAGGTGAGCTAGAACACATGATCTTTTTGTCAAAATAGTAAACCCAAAAGAGGTAAATCCTTTGGATTTTTCCAATATAGTAGCCAAGTCACTTGGGGGAAGTGGGATTGTAGATTGAAGAAACAAGTACACAATTATCCAAAGTGTAGAGTTCAGGATGAAGTCGGGAGGCCAGTGAACTGAAGTAGTTCATCAGAGCAGCCACACTCCACCCTTCAGCCAGCCAGCCGCACACTTCAACCTCATCACAGACTGTTCTTTGGCAATTATGGGTGGAGGACAATGACTTCAGGGCAAGCTAAACTCCTGACAGAACTTGAAAGTATCTCTAGTATATGATGGGTTCAAGCAAACCTTCAGAATTCTTCATGAAGCATCTTATTTCCTTCAAAAAGTGCTTTTATACCTCTTTCCAGGCTAGAACATCCAACAAGAGAGGAAAATAAATCAGTAAGCCATTATTAAGTACCTGCTGCTATATGACAGGTACTATGTCAGGCAGGGAACACATGCTTTGGAAAGTGGTGGTTAATATTAAGAAAGTCTTCCCCCAAAAGTGATATCTGATTTTTATAAAATGTTTTATTAGCTTGTTTTTTTTTCAACAGAAAATATACATGGACACTGAACAACAACAAAATAACAAGAAAACAAAAATTGCCTGGCATTCTGGACATAAAAGTAGTTTTGTATTTTGCTATTGTTATTTAACAGTCTTTCTTGAACTAGCATATCGTTCTATCATTACATTATATTCTTCCCTGCCATTAAAGGCTCGTGTTATTTAAAATTAGCTTGCATGATATTTTATTTTATGGATAATCCTAAATGTTATACCATCTATCTACCTAATAAAAGAGTAACATGTTAATTGACCATACCCTCGAAATGCCCAGCAGGCAATCAGGAGTATGCAAATTAACCCACCAAAGATGGTGGGTTAATTTGCATCCACAGGTACCAGGTCCCTGGGCAGGGTAGGAAGGCAGAATGGTGGCTCTGGGCCACAGCAAAAGTGGTGTAGGCAGCCAGGGAAAGGAAGGTCCATTCTGACATGAATCTTCATGCATCGGGCTTCTAGTATATACATAAAAAGCCAGTGACCTGAATGCTATAGCCATAAGGACCTCAATGTGGCCAGTGAACCAGCACAATGGGGGTGAGGGGGGGAGTTGGGGTTGGCCTGCCAATCTCCTGGGGCCATTCCCACCAGCCGTTCAGCCCCTGCCCCGATCAGGCTGCCCACCCCAATCAGCCCACAGCCCATCCACTCACCTGGCTCCATCCACCCTATCAGGGGTAGGACCATGGCCAACCACCTGTGACCCTTCCTCCAATAAGCCCCAATACCCCATTCAGCCTGCGGCCCCTTCTCCCAGCTAGCTCCACCCCTGATCCGTGCCCCAACTCTGATCAGGGGAGGGGCCAGCCGGCCAACAACCTATGGCCTCTCCCCAGGCCTCTCCCACCACAATTGGCCTGCACTCCTCCCCTCAGCCAGCTCCACCTCTGATTGGCCTGCTGCATACCAATTGAGGGTGGATAGAGTAGCGAGCTGAGCAATATGGAACAGGAAGAAGTTGGTTGATAAGAAGCAAGGGGGGTCACAGACTGCAAGAAAGATGTCTGCAAAAAGACCAGAGTGCAAGAGGGTCCTAGGCTGAGGGACCCCCACACCCAGTGCACGAATTTCCTGCACCAGGCCTCTAATTTATAATTAACTATTATTACTTAGTTTGGTCCATTCAGTTTATTCTAATTTTTCTCTTATAAATTCAGCTGAGCACAGGCAAATGTGGCGCAGTCTGTGGAGCATCATCTCATGCACCGAAAGGTCGCTGGTTGACTTCTGGTTAGGGATCTATACACAGAGGCAATCAATCTCTCTTTCTCTCTCTGTCTCTCTCTCTCTCTTTCTCTCTCTCTTCATCTCTCTCTCTCTCTCTTCATCTCTCTCTCTCTCTCTTTCTCTCTCTCTCTTTCTCTTCCCCTCTCTCTCTCTTCCTCTCTCTCTCTCTCTCTCTTCCTCTCACTCTCTCTTCCTCTCTCTTCCTCTCTCTCTCTCTCTCTCTCTCTCTCTCTCTCTCTCTCTCTCTCTCTCTTTTCCTCTCAATTTCTCTCTTCCTCTCTCTCTCTCTCTCTCTTTCTCTCTCTCTCTCTCTTTTCCTCTCACTTTCTCTTTTCCTCTCTCTCTCTCTCTCTCTCTCTTCCTCTCTCTCTCTCTTCCTCTCTCTCTCTCCCTCTCCCCCCCCCCCCCCTCTCTCTCTCTCTCTCTCTCTCTCTCTCTCTCTCTCTTTCTCTCTTTCCTTCCTCTCTCTCTAAAAATCAATAAAAATGTTTTAAATTGATCTGAGATTGAAGGATGGTTAGCCAGGAAAAGAGTGTGGGGATGGATTTACTCAAGAAAAGAACAAGAGGCCTGCGCTTCTTTTAAATGTATAAAATAGATTCATTGAAATATTCAGTAATAGTGATAATAGTACCTAACAAATAGCACTTACTATGACCCAGAGGTGCTCTAATTCTTTTATTGATGCTAATGTATTTATTCTTACTAGATTTATCCTGTCACACATAAGGAAACCTCAGCACACACAGGTAAATGATTCACAGAAGAACCCACAGCAAATACGTCAACATGGAAATGAGACCAAAGAGGTCTGGCTCCAGGGTGTAAATAGATCAGAAAAGGGAAATGTGCTTATTTTAAATTTATGTTAAAAGCTTAAGAATCAAAGTTTTATAATTACTATGTAAATTGCTTTTCAGTTTTACATTTACACTGCCCTGTGATTTACAGGAAGGGGAAATTGTGCCTTGCCAAGTTGACACCTCATTCATCAAAAGCAGAAGAGAAACCTGTACTTTGAAGGAATTACATGGCATTCAGACGGCTGATTCTTGGTTTCCACGAAGTTTGAAGGTAGTAAGGGATGTGGCCAAATGGGGAGGCAGAAATCAGATCACAGAAGAGAAGCTTCCATTTCAATGTAGAAACAATGATGAATATTAGAAGGATTTTCAAAGAAAGAGACTAGAGACTGATTTGCACTTTAGCAAAATCACTTTGGGTGCTGTCTGATGATGGAACAGATTTGAAAGAGGCAAACTGGAAGAAAATCATGTTGATAGGACACTCTTACAGCAGTCATGGAGATAAATGATGAGCGCCGGACGTATAACTGGTAGTGGGAATGGTGAGAAGCAGCTATAATTGATTTCTAAATGCAACCAAGTCAGTGATTAGATACAGTAGCATCCCTCTACCCCTATCTGTGAGGGATACATTCCAAGACTTCAGTGGATGCCTAAAACCTATAGGACTGAGTCCAATATATACTATGTTCTTTCCTATACCACATGCACCCATTTTCACTTAAAGGAAGCACTTAACAGCTTCTCTTTGGCATATTCCAATTGCCATGTTGTTATGGGCGACCCACAATTGACAACCACCAGTCTGCCAAATTGGAATTTAGGAAGCCCTTACTACAAACTTGAGTCCGGGCCCACGTCTCAACTGACACAGCAGCAAGCAACGTGAGACCTGACCCACTCTAAGCCTGCTGCTTTTATCCCGTGTTAGGGATGCCTGGCAGATTATGATT